GTACTTATGCACGACCGTGCTTTACAAGCTACATGGGCGTGTTTCGTTGTCTAGCACGACCGTGCTGGATGAGGATGCATGGCCGTGCTGAATGGATCTGCATTTAAAAATGTTAATTCAAAATTTAAACCTTGTGGGAGTTTTGATCCAAATTTGGATTTAAAATTCAAATGAAGATTTCGATTAAGATTATGATAATGGATAAAAGTAATTCAAAAAAATAGAGCTCAATCAATCGAGAACTTAGAACATATCCTATATAAAGAGGCCTTATACTCCATACTCCAAGACTTGAACTGTAGACACTTCTACTTCATCCCACACCTTTTTCTGCACACCATCTTCCCCTTCTTAGTTCTAACTCACATCACTGTTGAGAGTTATTAGAGATTATTGGCAAAGACGACGAACTCTTTCGGAGTCCGAGCGAGTGATTGAGCATCTCTTGCAAAACAAGAACTTTTTTCATCTTTTCTCCCATTTGTTCTCTTGTTTGAATTCTCTTTGTGTTTTATGGATTGGTTAATTTTATTTTTCATTGTTTATTTTGCTATGAGTAGCTAAATTCATAGCTAGGGCTATGGTGAATCCTATTTCACACTCTAAGTTTTACGTTTAATAATAATGTTGCTTTCTTTGTGTTTGGTTTTTATCCTGTTGAATTGAATTATTCATGTTAAGAATTGATCACCCTTAGCATTTCATAATTAATTGCATCGTAAGGTACCACATGTAGTTAATGGAACTATAGGATAAAACAGGACAAAAAGCGAGACAAATCAAACTTAATCCTTCTCTTCCAACTGTTATTAAATTAACAAATCCATAGGATCTTTATGTTTTCTCTGCCTTTTACCTTGCATGATCATTAGGGTAATCACTTAGGGAAAAGAATATTAACATTGTATAATCATTGAGTGTTAATAGATTAAGCATGAACCTAGTCAATATCTTTGGTAGTGTTGCGTTAAAGGTGATAGGGTGAGAAGACCACCAATGACAGAGTAACCTAAATCAGTGCAGCTAGACCAATTTGACTTGTTTATTGACTCAAACAAAGAGTTTAACCTTTAAAGGCAAGGGATGAGGGTGTGGGAGGGGTGTCCAACAGAGAAGGAGAAAGAAGCGAAAGTGAAAAGGGATTTTTTTATAAATATCAAAAGTATATTTAAAGATTTATTTATAAATAATAATTTTAAATAATAAAATATTATTAAATTAAATGATATGGTATGTCACATGGGAGTGCTGAGTTGACTTTTCTTTAATCAGCTCAGTACTTAACAGAAGAAAATTGATGATAGGAACTAAATTTTAATTTCTTAATTTCTTAAAGACTAAATCCTAATTTCTTAACTTTTTAAAGACTATATCCTAATAAATTTTTTTATAAAGACTTATTACAAAATGTTTAATATTTATAAGGACTAAAAATATAATTAAGCCTTATTTTAAAATATAATTTTTAAAAATTAAAAATCAAAACTAAATCAAATCAACCTTAAAATTTCCATTTTATCATTATTCTATCGTAATTAATAGTATTTATACTTTTTTAATTGACATTTTAATACAATTAATCTTAATTAAAATATTTTTATTTTAAACAATAAATTCTAAAACTTATTGTTCTTTCTATTAGCATTGCAAGCATTTCCTAATTTTGATGAATTTGATATTGAAGTAACTTTCGCCCATATTCTTTTACTTAACATTATATTTGTCCTTTTCAATAGCATAACAATATTGTTGCATATGAGAATGAGTGAAAATAACCTCTAAATAATAGAAAACTTAGATTTATTATCAGAATTAAAAGTTCTAGAAAAAAATACAATAGAAAATAGTATACTACTTAATTGATACACTCAATGATATAAGAAGACTTGATTCTTCTGTAAATACATATATTATTTATAGAATTCTGTTAATAATTTCGTGCAATAACTATTGTATTAGTAAAAAAAGCTTTTAAAACTAAAACTAATAAAATCCTTTTCAAAATCAACACTGTCTTAAGAAAGATTAAATAAGTTAACTTTATAATCAATTAAAAGGAATTAATAAATAGTTAATTATAATAAATCAAAGGTAATTTTACAATTAAAAAACTTTTAAAAGATAAACGTTAAATAAAACCAAAATAATTTAACAAATCATTTTTAAGAAAATCTTATTTTAGAAATTTGAAGTCTGTATAAACATTAAACCAGTCCTAATTTAACTCATTTGAATGAATAAGTTAAGGATGAACATTAAATTACTTTTATAAGTCAAGAGTAAATCTAATGGTTTGATTTCATTCTACTCATTTCTACTCTTGTTAGTGATATTTATATCATTTTCAGAAATTAACTGATATGGTCCATGAACTTTGCGGATATGAAGCTAAATTTAATAAAACTATCCAACAATATTTTCATTTCTTATGTATTTGTTCTTACATTTAGTTTTTTCACTAAATCCTAATGGTTTCTACCAAAATTGTGTTCCTATTTATTAAAGGAAGATTTTATAGGCTCAATTTGGATCAACTTTTAGAAATTTTCTTGGCCAATATAAATTTGTGAAATAAACAGATACTAGTGACAACTTTTAGCAATATTGACAGTTTTATACCGATCATAACTACAGTTGAAAACATAACTAAAGGATTAAAATATTAACATATTTAATTTATTGTTTTATTTATTTTTGTTTAAAAATGATTTACCTAGATCATATTTGTTGAAGACAAAAAAGATTATCACTCCTTCCCTTATTTACCTAAACTTCACTCTTGAACATATCATCAAGTTATTAGGTAAAAGTTCATCAATAACTGTAAGACTCTTCTCTGCACAAAAATATTTTAAACTCAAAGCACGGACTTTGGACTTATTTACTTAAGTTGCGATAAATATACAATTTTATTTAAAAGATTGCGAGATAAAGATTATTCTCTGATTTCTCTCCGTTCCTTTTGTTTGATGATTAAAGAAATACAATTAATATCCTAGTTGTCATAAAATTGACTAATTTTTTTGTTATATCCTTACATAAATTATTTTTTCAAAAACATATTAAATATTTGGTAAAGGCAAAATTTTTAAAATATTTTATTCATTAGTATTAGAAAAACAATCAAAATAAAATAAAAAATTATTGAAACATCAATCAAAAGGGAGTAGAGTGAGTTACTTTAAACTACTTATTTCTGTTAATAAATTTTCGTTGTTGATAAAATAAAATCAAACTACTTAATAAAAAAATATTTAACTTTCGATTTCGGGATACAATACAGGGACATATTTTTTTTATATTATCCAAATAATTTAACAAATCATCAAATATTTTTAAATATTCAATAAATCAAATATTTATACTTATTTTTGTTCTTTTGACATTTGCTAACAAAACCTATAAAAGATGCTTTAAATTTAAATATTAACTAATTGATGACACTTTTTTGGTAAGATGCACCAACATTTATATTGGAAGTTTGAAAACTATTGCAAAAGAAGTCAAATTGACGTGATGCTCAAGCCGATACATTAAAGTAAACAAGTTGCGTGATTAGCAACTACGCATTTTGTCAAGAGGTTCATTCCACAACATGTCTCGCTTCTTAATTTTAACATAATTAACTATGTCTAAAGGAGATGGTTAACTTTTATTGATTAAAAAATAAGTATAAAATATTAAATAAAAATAAATTATTTACTTTGTTAGGATTACAAACATTATATTTATGTTTCGAAACAATTAAAATTTATTTATTAAAAAATGTTGAAATTTCTTCATAAGTGACCACAAAACACTGAAATCCCAATCTTGTGTATTCAATGCAAGAAAAACTTTAAATGTAGGAGAAACTCTATTAATTATTAAATGAACCGATGAGTGCGAAAACTTGTTGCATGTTTGGTAAATTCTGTATAGAAAACATAGATTTAGGGCATGTTTGAGAACGTGGTACCAACAACGAGGAAACAACTGCCGTTGATGGAGGTGATCAGTGGAATCTCATATTACCATATGTCTATTATTATTGGTTGTAATGGTGAAGGTATTATTGTGCTGTGGTGTGGCCCCTGATTAGTCAACACTATTATTAAGTTTCATATACCTTAAGCCCATAATATGCCGAAATTGATGGTTTCCCACTGGAGCCACACTTCCAAATCTTATAAAGGCCACAACCATGATTCTAAAGAGTAATCACTTCTTAACAGCAATAAATAAAAGACAGCAAAATTTAATGTCCTAATGTATTTATAAGCTTTTTATTTTCAAGAGAATAGTTTTAAGGAAAGTGATGCTGCCTCGACCCGAGACCAATTAAGTTACTCTACCAGTCCCTTACAAAACTTACTATGGTAATTATAGATCACCACAACAAAAATCAAACCTAAACTTTACAAATGAAGTAATTTAGTTCTTATAGGCTGAACCAATCCTAATTGACAGATCTATCATTGTTAGTGCACGTTTAAAACATAAACAATTTTTTTTTCAAAAGTAATTTCAACCAAACGTGTCCTAGATCTCTTGAAAATAATATATATACAGCTCAATTATATATAGGTGCTTGTAGGTACTCATAACTTGAGAGGGTATTGTATACTCGTTAAATTGACGGCTATGATTTTTCTAACATTAGAGATTAAAAAATATTTACATATTTTTTAAATAAACTACTAACTTTATTATTTATTAAAATAAAATTAACGATAATAATTATTTTACAGGACATAGAATATCCTCTTGATTTACAGGAGGACCAAGAAATTACCTTACCTTGTATAAAAGTAACAAAAGGATAAAAGAATATGACACAAAAAAGTCGTTTGAACGAAACCCAATGCTCATATTTACTAAAGAATTAGCTGGGCCATATGCAAAGTCGTTCAAGAATGCACAAAAATAAATGATTACAATTACCAAACAAGTGTTGATTGGGAGGCATGGAAAAGAAGCATCAGAATGCAGAGAAAGTGTTCCTAAGGCTAACGGCACCAAAACTTTAAATTCTTACCTGGTACAAAATCTGTGTTGTTGATATTTACACCTTTCCAGAAATTAGAGGAGGTTAAGATGAATAATCAGCTTGAAGGAAACACTCATAAACAGTTCCTTTTAGTGTCTTGTTAACATCATCCCAATTTTTAATGTGGTCCGACAATGGTCCTCTGTGTATCTTAACCTGACGGCTTGTTAATTCCATCTGTGGCAATCCTAAAAACTCTTGCACGTCTTTTAGAGTCTGCAAGAAACAACAGAAAATCGAATATATTTTGCCAACTTTCAATTTTTTTATAATTAAAAAGATATAAAACATGTTAAGTTAGTTGGCCCAAGAACAACCTTGCACCAAAAAGATAACAGGTTAGAAGTTTAGTTCATTTCAATTTCAAGATAAGTGTGCTATTTTGCCCACTCATGGCTTCATGATTTCACACATGCAAACCCATAACTCTGCTCTCAACACAACAATTATTTATTCACTACCCTTAATTTGCACCCAGGAAATGGACTGAGGAAGAGGGAAGGAACTTGGTAAAATTTCTCAGTGATTAAATTGAATTTTCTTCCTGCATTATCATATTCCAGGACAACAATGCAGCTAAACTGAAATACACTAATGATGAATCATATAAAAGTAATTACCAGTAAATGGTACTTGTGCATCTGGAAATGTAATTTATAAGCTTTTAGCACATGTCGAAGGAATTTATGATGATCCACTTACAGTATGATTTCTTATAAGATCCTCATAGTATAAGATCATATGCCGAGTTGAGTTGAAGTATTCTAAAGCCTTTGCAGCTCTTGTCTCCATATCCTTCAAGTCAGTCAGCAATGATTTAGAATTTACGGTAGGCTTGTACTTTGACAGAGTATCAGCCTAAAAGAAGCCAAATTTAAGTTTCATTTTGTGCTAAAAGAAATGAAGGGAAAGCAGGATACAGAGAGAAAGAGAGAGAGAGACCTCTTCTGCAGAATGAACATGAGACTTGTGAGTTCCATTCAACAGCTTAGCTTGGCGGTCATATGAGTTGGCAAGCATCGATACAAATCTGCGTAATAAGTTTCTTCGGAAAAGAAATATGACAGAAACACTTCTGCGGTTGAAGTAATCTGCTATTTCCGTAGGGTGCTCCATTAATCCCTGCATGAAATCAGAAGATGTCTTTGATTCTTCTATTACTAAAAAATAATCTATACAAACAGAATTGTAAAGCCTGCGCTGCAAGGAAAAACAAACAGCAAAATAAATAATCACAAGCAAAGCCTAGCCTTTGTTTATTATCTGCCTTCTTATGTTGAACCAATGCATCACCAAATATTGAATTCTGAGACAATTCACAATTGGCCTTTCATGGACTGATGGAGAATTAAATAGCTACATGAAAGAAATGCGCTTAACTATACTTTTGGTCCCATTAGTGTCACTAAAGTTTGATTTGGACTCTACCAGTTTTACTTGCGACAATGTCCAGTATTTTCCAATTCAATGCAATTTAGCCACCTACCAGGCTCATGCTATTCCATCTCATCTCCTATTGGTAAAAGTTGACACTTCTATCAAACACTTGCTCTATAATCTCTTATTAGATTATAGGATAAATTACATTCACACTGAAAGTTTATTGATATTACACCCAATACCCCTACTTTTTCTAACATTGCACCGACCTCCCTTAATTCATATAAATCATAAGAAATGAGGGGAGATCTGTGTGAACAACAAGGGTGTTATGTTTTCATAAAAACCTAAACATCAGGGATGCAAGTGTAATTTTCCTTATATTATATCATATTAGATTAATATGCAACAAGGTGACCCTACACTAGTCAATGATCATGACTGGCAGACAGAAACGATAACAATTTTCCAGACTGAGCTAATGTACTTTTTCTCAAAGTTAAGCACATGGGTCAACTTTTACTATAAGATCCTTCACATCAGAAACACAAGAACGGGTAGGGGGCATTAAATTACATTGCAACCTAAGCCTAATATGAGGGCATTTATGCCTGCAAATACAAATAACAAAAACTTAATCTCCTCTAGGAACACTTAAGCATGTACGACACATGTATAAGCTTAGTAGAACCTGATATGCATAAATCAGTTAACCACACTTCTGATCAAGACTTAAGAGTGGGAAAATTTTACCTGATTAAGCATCCACTTTAAGCCAATTGCAGCTGAGCACTCATTCTTGGAAGCACTACTGAACCAATCCAAATTGTAAACTTCATCCAAAGTCTGTACAATTGTAGAAATATTTACTCGCCTTTCTCTAACTGAAAATATCTCCCCATTAGAGCTCACATTAATATGGCTATTCAAAAGGGTCTCAAACCACCCACTTCCTGATCTCTGATTAGACAAGATGGCAAAGAATTGTACTGGATTACCATCACACTCACTCCTGACAACGAAAGGAAAAAGCAGTTAACAAAGTCCTAAACAAAGCCAAATAACCATGGTACACAGAAACTTCCCATTACCTGTTAAAAGACACGGGTTTTGGGTAATGTAAGTGAGAAACATCTGTTACGTTCAAATTCCATCTAGTCCTAGAAGGCTTCTCAATGTCTTGCAACTCCAGAAGCATAGTTCTAGCATGGGTGCTTATCTGCTTTAGACACACAGAACAGATGAAAACACCACACACCATTGAAAATATCAACACTGACATCCTTAACAAAAGTGGTGATTTCTTCTGAGGCTTTACAACCAGAATGTCCTGCAACCCATGTAGGAGGAAAACGTTACAACCATCCCAAAAGAAAAACAAAATAGGATATCATCAAATTTGGTGATACATAGGATCACAGACACAAACTTTAGAAGCATTTTGGTCCAGTTAAGAAAGCCCAGAAAAAGAATAGTCAATTACATTTGTGAAGAACAATGAGGAAGATCGAAACATGCAGAGGGAGCTCAAAGCATTCATCTTTTTTCTTCCCCTGGTTTAAAGAACAAAAGTGAAAAAGGGAAAGAAAAGAGAATATCCACTTCCACTGAGCTTGAAACGTTTTTTAAAAGAAAAATCAAGAAGAAAGAAGCGTGATGGTAATTTGGAACAGTAGCCAGAAAAGGAGCAGCACATTGTTTCTGACAGCACTAAGAAGGGGTGATTTTATTAGTACTAATAACAAAGGACCACACAGAAACACATTATTGAAGAAACACATGTCTTTTATTACCATTGTTGTTGTAGAAAAGAGAGAGAAGAGGAAGAAGACTACAAGAGTGGATGTTTGAAAGAACAAAGAGAAAAAGGCGAAGATTGTGACTTGGACCTGGTTTCAGTTGACGAAACTGTACGCCATTAAGGGCCCTAAAAGTCAAGCCCAACCTAACAACAAGTTCTTCCTTTCCCCCCATTCTCTTTTCTTTTGCAAAATATTTATAACATATTTGATAAAATTTAATTTTAATAAATTCATTAATTTTAAAAAATTATTTTAATCTATGATCAGAAATAATTATCTGTATAATACGAGTTGTTGTAAGTTTGAGGATTGTGTTAGTTCGTTAATAAATCTAATTTTTTAAAATTTTAATTAATAACAATTAAATAATTGAAAATTTTAATTTAAGACTAATAATAATAATAATAAAAATTATAAATTTAATTACTAAATACACGATGCCTCGTAGGAAATTGTTCTAACTTAATATATGATTTCCGTTTTTTGGTCTTTGAATCATTAGATTTAGAATACAATTGAGTCATTAAAATATTTACATTTAAATCACTCTTTAGATTTAATTTTACTCTAAACTATTATAATCAAATTTTTATCTTAATTTTTTATACATCTTAATAGAATTTAATATTGTTAGTGCATTTTATACATACATAGATAAATATAAACTTTTCCTATAAAATTTTAAGTCATTTACATTCTGAAAAACAAAAGGACAGTTTAATAAAAATGAAACGCTATTTTGGTGATTTTTTTTCCTAAATTGAATATTTTAGATTATTTGTCAAACATTTCATTGACAATTAAATATAATTTATTTGCTTATATATTATTGAGGAGCAATTAAGCTTATGTAACAAAAATTACCACGTGGTAATGTGTTGAAGTTAAAAATCTATGTTGTAACTGCATTTAATTTTCATTTCGTATCATATAGAAAAGGTTTTATTTACGAGAAAATACTCTAATCAATGTCAATTGATCTGGAAGGTGTCATATTCAAAGTGACTTGGTCTACAATTCGACTTCAAAGCATGACCATAGTTTAATAAAATATTTTGAAAACTCTCATAAAAATTGAAGCAATTTGAAAAAGATGGAGCATTTCTTAAATACTAAACATAAGTGAAATAAGCATAATTGTCAACATACTTACACTTGGTGGAGTAACTTCATTTCGTAAAAAAAATGGTAAAAATAGAATTACTTATCCTTTGAATTCCTTGCACATGCGAAATTAAGATTTGACCCACAAGTTCAAAAATCAGGAGCTACAAATTGGTACAACTTTTATTTGCAACCAACTTAGCAATTAATGACTTGTAAAGAAACCACAAGGATTACGCCAGGTTTCTGGAATGTTAGGGTTCAATTCATATCAGTTACTTACTTGATAGACAAGTTGAGAGAAGGTTTTCAATGTGTTTATGTTGAGTATCAAATTCAATAAATTTAATCTTTTTCTATTGATTCAAATAATTTGATTATATTGGTTAATAAGATCAAATTTACAAAAATTGATAAAATTTACTTCTTTATAAAATTAACAAGATAATTAAGAAAGCGGTTTCAGGGTTAATATTATTTCAGTGTAAATCACAAGTATTTGCAAGAAATAATTTTGTTTGAGTTGGGTAAAATTAGGCAACAAAACTTTTTTTTTTTAGTATTTATTCTCATTGATATTTAGAGAAATTAACTAAGTCAAATAAAAATAATAATAAATAATTAAGAAAGAAATTTTAAAAAATAAAAAATCTAGTCTAATAAATATGTTTTATATTAATTTTATTATCGTTATTAACAAATTTTAACAATACTTTTTTTCAATAATTAGACCAATTTTTTTTCCAAATAATCTAAAATAAGCTTTTAAATGTTAATCTAAGTGATAATATTAAACTTTAGAGAGATTAACAACTATACTACTAATTATTAAAGCAATTTGACAATTATACATCTAATAAAATTATTTGTATACTGTCTTTCTAATGAAAAAAAAAACTTTTTTTATCAATAAATAAATAATAATTGATAAATAATGTCAGAAAGCATAAAAATATCAAAGAATACTAGGAAGAATAAAAATGTTAGATCTCACGACTCTAAAAGATTTAAACTTCAATTATCATTAGACTAAAAAAGAATTTAGCATCACATAATATTCAAAAAGGACAATAGAATAGAGAAAAACATGATGACCTTCTTTCCCCCATTTATACATTTCTTAATGATGCTTTAAAATATAAGAATTCTAATATGGTTTAGGCTTCTCTTGATAAAAGAAATAAAATTTAATCTAACTAAAAAAAGAAAGTCATATAAAAATCCTAAACTTTTAAGGAGAATATTTTTTAAAATACAACTCATAATTAGGGATGGCAATGGGTAGGGTATGAGTAGGATACTATAATACTCATCCTCATACCCGCATTTTAAAAAAATACTCATACCCAGCCCCATATCGCGTGGGTATGAACATTAATTGTAAAATAGTTTTCTGCAATGTTGTATTTCTCAATAATATGCTGTATAAATACATGAAGTTATTGCTGGAAAATTTAACAATTCTAACATATACGTTTAAAAAATAATAAATCTAAAATAACAACTCCTATATATTCTATATAGCAGCTTGAATTTAAATAACAAACTGTTTGTTAAGCCTTGTTAACAGCAATTTGTTATAGCAACAATTTGTTACGATATTACCCCCCTCAAGTAGGAGCATGAAGATTCAGAATGCCCAACTTGCTCATCAAAAACTCGAACTGAGGTTTGCCCAACGCCTTGGTGAAGATGTCTGCGAGCTGTACTGTTGTAGAGACATAAGTGGGAAGGATATTCTGTTGTAGAATCTCATTGCGGACAAAATGACAGTCAACTTTAATATGTTTGGTGCGTTCATGAAACACTGGATTTTTGGCAATGTGCAATGCCGCTTGACTATCACAATGAAGGACCATAGGTTTGGGGTGAGCAATGCCAAGATCAGAAAGAATCCCTTTTAACCATTTGAGCTCACAAGTAGCTGTGGCCATGGAGCGATATTCAGCTTCAGCTGAAGAGCGTGAGACAGTATGTTGTTTTTTGGTTTTCCACGAAATAGGAGATTGGCCCAGTTGGACAAGCCAACCAGTCACGGAGCGACGGGTAAGAGGACAACTAGCCCAATCAGAATCACACCACCCGTGAAGCTGGAGATCACAGCTACTTGAAAGTAATATACCTTGTCCTAGATTGCCTTTGAGAAAGCGAATCACCCGGAGAGCAGCGTCCCAGTGCACAGTATGAGGTTGCTGCATAAACTGAGATAAATTGTGCACACTAAAACATAGCTCAGGACGGGTGAAGCAAAGATAGATCAGGCGCCCAACCAAGCGACGATAACGCTCCGGGTTATCAAGAAATGGCCCAGAGTCTGAGGACAAATGGTGATTTTGCTCTAATGGAGTGCCAGTTGGTTTGGCGCCAAGAAGACCAGCCTCAAAGATAATATCAAGCGCATATTTGTGCTGACAAAGGAAAATTCCCGTAGGACTACGAGCAACCTCAACACCCAGAAAATACTTCAATGTGCCAAGATCTTTCATGTGGAAGCAGTCACTAAGATATGTTTTAAATCTTTGGATGGCGGAAGAGTCATTTCCCGCAATAATGAGATCATCAACATAAACTAAAATAGCAAGCTGAATGCCGTCGCGATGCAAAGTGAAGAGAGAATAATCAAGACATGATTGCTGAAAGCCATAGGAAACAAGAGCATGAGACAGCTTAGTGAACCAACAACGCGGAGCCTGCTTCAAGCCATATAAAGATTTGCGTAATTTGCACACCTTGTGAGGTGAAGAAACGGTAAAACCAGGAGGCATGCGGATGAATACCTCATCATGGAGATCCCCGTGGAGAAACGCATTATGTACATCCATTTGATGGAGTTCCCAAGACTTGGCTGCTGCTATGGCAAGAAGAGTGCGTACAGTTACCATTTTGGCAACTGGGACAAAGGTCTCTGTATAATTTATGCCTTCCTTCTGATGATTTCCAAGAACTACTAAGCGAGTTTTAAAACGCTCAATGGTACCATCAGAATTGTATTTGATACGATACACCCATTTGCATACATTTTATTCAATGAAAGCAATGGATCAGACGCAAACAAATTGGAACGAATCGGTCCATATGTTGCGTCGTCAAGACCCATTAAAAAAGTGTGACATCTTTCTTCTTCCTTACGTTTCTCAAGTTTCGCAGCAACTCCACAGGTACACCCGCTGCAAGTGCAGATGATAACCGGTTCATGAGTTGCGAGATCATCCCACAGTGCTTTCAGCTTTTCATAATAGGCTATTATGGTCATCCCTTCTTGCTTACATTGTGCTAGTTCTGATTTCAACTGGTTAATACGGGGTCCATTCACAATGGAAAATCTTTCTTTAATGTCATCCCACACCTCCTTGGCTGTTTCCAAGTATGATATGGAAGTTCTCAGTTTTGGTTCTACTGTATTCAAGATCCATGAAACCAACATGGCTTGGACAGTGCACCAATCTTCAAAATGTGGGGATCCTTCTTTGGGTTCTGCTATGGTTCCGTCAATGAAACTCCACTTTCTTCTGGCTCTCAATGACCTCTTCATAGTTCTAGCCCATTCATCATAGTTATCACCCTTCAATTGCACCTGAGCAATTGTGTTTCCAGGATTGTCACTAGAGTTGAGATCATAAGGGGAAGTTTTCTTTCTTTGAGCATCTTCAATTGCTGAAGATGTCGCAGCACTCTCACCACCATTTGTTGGGGTTTCCATGTGCAGG